ACTCCCAATCAAAGCATCAAAGAAAATGTGTTGTTGTTGTTTTACAAAGGAAATATGTTCTTCATGCAGAAACATTCTCCAAAAATTATTGCATATGGAAAAATACTGTGCAAAAATATTAATTTTCTCTCATAGTGCAGAGTAAATTATAATAATTATTTGGCCTTGCATGCAAGAATGCAAAATTGAGGATTATTATCCCTAATCTGTGTTAAGCAGTGTATGCAGTTATAGAGTTATAACAATAGTGAAGAAATGTACATCTTTCAAATGATTCACCTCAGTTAGGAATCAGTTTGTGTAAATTAGCATTTTCCAATTACAGTGGGAAACTGGAAAACAGACAGCAGTGACCTTCCTCCTGTGTACAACAGAAAAGTTCTATGATAAATAATCTTCTAGTTTGAAACTCTAAAGCCACATATCCCATACATTAACTGACATTAGGCAGCTTACTTTTAATCAAGTGAGGAAGGCATAGTGAAAGCATATGAATTAATGAATCAATCTATCATAATGATAAATTGATCAAATTTTCAGTCCTAAGGGGAATAGAGCCTCCTAGTTTATTTTGGCATCAGTTTAAAAAATCACCCACATCTTACCATGTTTTAGTTTTTACTACAATTTTACATTTTAGTTTTTACTAAAATGTATATGATTCATCTTGAATTTCCCACCATGTATTCTAAGGAAGATTAGTGTACAATCATGCCAATGCCCATAGTAAGTTCTAGCTTTGCTGTTACTTTCAAGATTGGATGTTTACACATACATGGCCTAGGTCCAACCTATCTAAGGGATCGCCCCTTTCCATATAATCCACCCAGTGCACTCAGATCATCTGGGAGGAACCTGCTGCAATTGAGAAAATCTAGACTAGTGGGAACCTCCCAGAGATCCTTCTCCATTGTTGCTCCCAGACTTTGGAATGCCTTGCTGGAAGGGATCCATCAAATTACCAGCTTGGACAATTTTTAAAAAGCCATTAAGATGGATCTCTTCCAGCAGGCCTTCCCAGAATAGAATAGACTCTACTTAAGTTGTGTCTCTCCCCCTTTTATATTCTTAGATTTTCTTTTCACTGGTGCTTGAACATCAGTTAATTTTTAACTATTTTAGCAAGACATCTAATTTAATTCTTTTTTAAGGAGGGGGGGTAACGTAACTTGTCTTTATTATGTTTTATTGTCTAATGTGGGGTTATTTTATTTATGTTGAGATGTAAGCCACTCAGGCAAAAGGCGGGGTATAAAAATAAAGTTTATTATTATAATTATTATAGTAGTATCTGAATGTCATGAAAGAGCAGCAAATAGTTTGTTATTATTGTGTTTTACTGCCAGAGATTGAAAGGGTCACTTTTGGGATTTTCTATTATGCATCCACTTTGTTGATGTTTGAATGTTTCTTGTTGAGTGAAGAATAACTTTTTCTTAGCTATAATCAGGTTATTAAAAATTTCTGGGCAGGAGGTAGGTGGGCACTGTAGTAATCTGCAGAGAAAACAGGAAAGTACTGTGACACTTTAAAAACTCATAAGCTTTATTGGGCCTAAGCTTTTTGTGGCCCACAGCCGACTTCACCATCTGCTTCATCAGATGAAATGGGACGCAGCCCATGAAAGCTGATGCCAAATAAACTTTCAGTTGCTTTCTCAGATACCACAAGATTCCTTAAGCTTAAAAAATGTGGGGTTCTGGGGGTGGAGGTAGTGGTGTAGTGTTTTGTTACAAATTCCGCCCCCCCCCCCCCCCCCCCCCCCAGCCATGGAAACTCACTGGGAAACCTTAGGCAAGTCACACTATCTCTGTCACAGAGGGAGGCACTGGCAAAAAAAAAAAAAGATACTCCTCTGAACAAACCTTACCCCTGTGATAAGCTTGCCTTAGGATTGCCATAAGTCAGAAACAACTTGAAGGTACACAACAACAAGGGAGGGGATGGCCACATAAAATTTCCTTTGCCACCCCACCTTTATTTCCCCTCCAGCCAAATGGAAGGGAAGGGGGGGGGGGAAATCAAGGCAGTGACAGAAAATATGTAAGAGGAAAGACTGTTACTTAAAAGACATTGTAACAAATTGTAACACTGCAACAACAGAAAATTTTAAAAGTGAAAGTGAACAGACCCTTTAAAGTCTAAAGATCCTGGCTTGCTTCCTGCTGTTCATTTAAATTTTAAAAATCCCAGGTTGCTTGCTGCAGCCCATTTAAATTTTAAATATCCCACATTGATTCCCTGATAGCATGAGTGAAATGTGATTATCTTTTGCACCCTACCAATCACGTTTCAATCACACTATTGAGAAGCCATTCATGGAAATTCCCCAGATTTTGACTTTTCCTTCCCCCTTTCCTCCCATGTGATACTCTCCTATGACTCTGGAGATCAGGGTTTGAATCCCAGCTTGGCCGTGAAATCCACTGGGTGACCTTTGGGAAGTCACATGCTCTCAGCCTCAGGGAAAGGTAATGGCAAACCTCCTCTGAACAAATCTGACCAAGGAATCAGATCAGGAGGGCTTTAAACTGAACTGTGTGGGGAAGGGAGACAACGT